TATATATGGCAGCTTCGATATCTTGCTCTGTATCCTCAGCAGTACACTTGAGTCCTTCGACTTTCTCTCTCCTAAGGGCCGTCGTGAGCTCGCGGGAAGTCCTTATGATTTCGCTCAATGTTCGATCAACTTGCGACCGATTTTCGAGCTGGGGCTTCTTCTCAAGGATCCAATCAGAGAGTGCTTGAGTTCTTTGGCGGAACGTAGACGACGGAGGGGAGAGTAGCGTCATCGGGGTAGAGTCCCACCGAGATCGCCATGATGTTAGTACTCTCTCACTCAAAGTCGTCATCATAAGGGGTTTTAACACAGATGTAAGCAATTCCGACATCTTGGACTCTCTTGCGTCCTCACAATGTCTCAGCTATTGCATGACATGCACAACAATTCATCATTACATGTGATTACAACACTATCAATCACTGTGAAACTCAAAATTCAGTTTATTCCACAATTTCATTGTATAATCTTTAGATCGGTTAAAACCGTTCTATTCTTCCAGGTGTAGTGCTGTCCTCGTGGTTTATGATGGATACACTCTCGTTGACTTGGAGGAATTTTAGGCGATCATTTCTAAGTGATTTTTGAAAAGGAGTGCCAATACAAATGTGTAGTTGTGTAGATTGCACAACTATGGAATCTTAGCTTAGCTCGAAGCTAGTTGATGAGTTTATGAGTCTAATTGTAGATAGAATCACTAGATTCCATTAACCATTGCCTTGATTTCCCAAATGGTTAACAAAATGCGATGTGGTATATATTTACCGCTCGTGGGTTCATGATGTGCCCTGTGGGGTAGATTCAGTCGAGCTGATTCCGTTGAACTCCTAGATATGCTCGCGCCACTCATGATGGCGATCCTGTGATTCGAGGGAGATGAGGAGGTTGAGGATTTCCTTCCACATTGTACACGGCTATCAACTCGACGAGGGGAATGAGAGTAGTGTGTTGACTTGGAAGGAATAAGGAACGATTTCTGATTGTTGTCGCATCCGCTGTTCCTCACCGTGCACTATGTTGCAACTTGAGCAATTTAACATTCCACTGTTGATGATATGAGATTGAGGTCAGCTGCTCTTATATATGGTTGTTGAATTATCTGGACTTCCCTCGCTCTGAAATTGAAAACCCACAGAAGTCTGTGAGTTGTGACTGATGTGGTAGACTACACGAAAATTGATTCTATGTGATTTACTAAGGGTTTTTATTCGTATTCACTAAAATATTTCCGATGAAAATTTTCAGCAATTTTTCGTGTCAGTGGTTGATATTGCTCTGTGCATGTACAGTGCGTTCGCGTGTGATGGGCAAATCGAATACACAGAACGGCTGAGATTATCACTACGAAAACACCACGAATCGATTTCGCATGAGTTTTGATTACAGTGACCAACTGAGAATGGGTGGTAAATTGAGTTTCTCAAGAATTGTGCGAATTTATTCAACCTGCCTTTAAAACGTTGACGCACTGTATATGAGTCCTCTGGTGTCGTAGTAGTATTGTGACATAACCATGCTATTGTTCGACGGATGCTCTCGCGTGTCGAGTTCTTTTAGTGATATCGGAATGCTGAGCCGGGTAGTGAATGTGAAATTTCAGTGTGTCGTGAGTTACGACTCGTAGCGACAGTAGAAGGCACGGTTGGACATGGAGCCAGTCTGAAAATTCCCAAATGCCTTTGTGGAATTTTCGTCCTCAGTGGACGCTCGGAGGGATTAACGCAGCTCTTCGAGCGCTATTGCGTTTATAATACCAACGCAATATCTCGACGAATTGATGAGGAATACCAACTCAATATCAAAAGTAGTTTTTGTTTTCCTCAGCTGAGCTTAGGAGTTTCCTCATTTACTATAGGAAGTTTACATGCGAGTAGAGGTGTCCAGAAAGCAACGAAAATTTTCAAAAATTCCTCCACAATCCGTACTGTCACCGACCATGTGTGTATTCGTTTTAAGATTGGGAATAACTCACATTTTCGAACTAAGTTTTTGCTCGCGGGCGTATAGCTACTGTTGAAATATACACATTCTTCGTCGAGGTGAGGAAGCAATCATACGATAAGGAGTCTGCGTTGTGATGGTATATTGAGTACGTGTCACCATGTGTAGCCTTGTTGTGTAGTATGCTAGAGGTACCAATCGCCGCAACTATATCATCACCAAGTCATGGCAATGCTAATGCAACACCTTCCGCGAGGCACTTGGATAGTCGTTTTAACACGATAGTAGTTCAAACTGTGTTGGAGAAGGATGTTGCTGTTGTGGGAGAGCTCGTTCCAATGCGAATTCGTATGAAGTTGGAGCCAACGCTGAGAGATGCTATCAGAGTGCAAGTCGTGATAGCCCCTCCAGCAGATTGGGGAGCATTTTTGAGCGGCTGGTCCGGGTCGAAGTTGGTGACACTTATCCCTGGTGTTGCGGAGGAGTTGACGGGTCTAGCAGTTGTTGGTATTAAGGCTGGCCCTGTGCGTATGCAGCATTTGGTAAGGATATGCGGTAGAACAAGAATGGTGTAACGTGTGAATACGATCGTGGAGAAAGATTTTCTCGATATAGTAGAGAGTGTTTGAAAACTTCGTTGACAATTTGAAGGGCTTGGAGTTTCTCAGGGGTGTATCACCAAGGCTAACACTTTTATGTTGGTAGGAAGTTCCTGAAAAGTTGTTCTTTGCACGTGAAAAAATAAAGAGATATACGGAGTTTAGTGGTGTGTGAGTTTGACGTCCACCGCCTACTACGACAACACGGCTTAGTTGGCCTCGCATCGATGCACATTAGCTCACGAGAGATCAGTTTGAGCCTTTTAAATTGTCAAGGAGTATTGTCCACAGGGCGAGATAATCTCTGTGAAGATACTTCCTTTCCTCTCGTGATGTTGTGGTTTGTGGGCTCTAGATAAAAAACTATCATTTTCAGCGTGCATGTATATTGTGAGAAGCTTGACGCTTATACGAAGTTTCGATCTGAAAAATATGCCGTTGAGAAACAGTTTCCCTTAGTGAGATGATGGTAGTATGTTCAGGTTCGAGCATCACTAGTATCTCAGCAAAGTGGCAAGGACCTTCCCGATGTAGAAGGAGGAGTTACGATTGACAATTTCGATGCTATTGATCTCTTTGTTCTACCTAGCAGGGCAGATGTGCCGATTGAACGGGAAACTGTTTAAAACTATACTAGCATGTGGAGTTGTTATTACAACGAAAGTCACGAAGTCTACACCAAAACATCGAAACGGAACTTGACGATTCTCTCCCCGTTGAAAAATAAAAAGTGCTCACGCGGATGGTGTGGCATATAAAGCGGTCGTTAATTGAACTGATTTCGGAACCCAGAATCGCTTCTTATACATACTATACGATAGTGGCCACAATGACCGTCTACGGACGCAACAACTCTACTACTTAAAGAGAAACATCAGATATTTGGGCGAGCGAGATTGTTGCTGCGCTGTAAAATAATCGATTCTGTTCTAATTGGAGTAAAAGCTGTCGTTGTAGGAAGTCGCGGTTTCGCGTGTTGCTGGGGTGTGAAATGATGCAGGATTTTTGTGGTGATTTGAGAGAAAGTGAAAACCTCTCATGGGAGGAGCTCAGTATTGTTATGTAGATTACGGTATAGCTGAGATAGAGTAATTTTGGTAATTATTCTTTTGTGATTTTGAGAGGCTCATAGGTCAGTGTTTACTCTTTCCCTTGCGATAGTATGGACTCGTCTACTATGAGGTAGGAGGCTCGTGATTGCCAAGCAAGCCGAGATTAGAGATTTCAGTTACCGCGAGAAGGTTACTCCTTCACTAGCGTACACTGTTGGGGTGGATAAGATACTCGCTGAGGGCAAGAGCGATTTTCAAGACATTTTGCTGATTCAGAGCAAGTGTTTTGGGCGAACTCTTGTGCTGGACAATCAAGTAAGAAAGTATCCATGGAGATTATGCACATGTTGATGAAAATGCGAAAATTCTAAGGAAATTTTGGGAGTTTTTTGTTGTTTTTTTGTACACTCGGATCTGAATTCGTTTGTGAATTTTCACTTTTGAAATTATGCACATGGTCAAGTACATGTGTTAGTGACAATACGAAAATTCTGAGGAAATTCTGGGAGTTTTTCGTTGGTTTCTGTATACTCCTACCAGAATTCGCGTGTAAATAGTGAGGAAACTTGTGAGCTCGACTGAGGAAAGCGAATTCAGGTTCAGTCTTGCGAAACTGATGAAGCGTGTTATCACGAGACTTTGGTCCATCCCGCCATGCTGGCCCATCCGAATCCTAAGAGGGTTTATATTGGTACCCAGGAAGTGATATTGGAGATGTGATGGTTGGGCTTGCTTAGGTGGCGGCGGCGAAGGCGCTACTGCTCGGGAAATATTGAAGCATAAGTCTGTGGAGAAATGCGTGATGGTTGATTTGGATAAGAAGGTATGACGGAAAAAAGTAAAGTTTTTTTCCGAGTGGATTTTGGTTTTTAGGTTGTGGATTTTTGCAGAGAACACATGACTCAGTGGAACGAGGGCGTTTTCGAAGACCCTAGGTAGAGTGATAAGAATATGTCGAAGTTAAGGAGATTTGCAGATTCACATGCTACTATGAAGATGCCTATCAGTGGCTTGTGGAAAACGTGAAAAGTGATGCTGATAAGTTCGACGTTATTGTGATGGACATCTGCGACCCCTTGGATGCGGGTCCGGGCTGGAAGTTATATACTGTGGAATTTTACAAGGAAGTTTTGGAGAAATTCCTTAACAAAGGAGGTATTTTGGTCACTCAGAGTAAGTCTTGATTTTTTTGAGGAAAGACGTAATTTGAATGAATTATGGTAGGCACTGGAGTGGACCTTTCTTATCCTGGCAACCCGGAAGTAACTGATCCTTATCTCACTATTCGTAACACATTCAAGGCTGTTTTCGGGGAAGATATGGTATGTTATTTGTGGTCGGTGAAGTTGCATAAAAGTGTGTCTGCTGTAGAGTGTTGGAAAGTTTTTAGCTGAGCTCGGGAGTATCCCCAGTTATACAAGTTTTCGAGAGGATTGGGGTGAAAGTGTACAAAAACCAACGAGAATTTCTCGAAATTTCCTCAGAATTTCCACATTGCCATCAACACGTGGTTGCAGGTGCGTTCCTATTTCGCTGATATTCCTTCTTTCTTCTACCCCTGGGGCTTCACAGTGGGTTCTGAAAGTGCCGAGGCTCTCGCCAGTTATGATCGCAATGCTGAGGAAATCACTGCTGAGCTCAAGAAACGTAGTGTGT